AAAATACCGATATTTTGAAGCACCGCGGAGGGAAAGAAAGGAAACCGAAGGACTTAATGGCACACTACTATCATGACCTTAACTCACCGGTAAAAGCTGAGGTACTTGAAGGGCGCCAAGTAGACAGGGATCTGATCCGCCTGCAGAACGAAGCCCGAGGCCAACATGAAGACGATGTAGAAAGCCCCGCACCCCATAAAGGCGGCCGAGTACACGGAGGTGGCGCACGAGACCAGAAGGCAGAGAGAGGTGGACGTAATGCTTGTGACTGAGTGGAAAGGGAATGGAGGAGCCCCACGAGGAAAGCGTGCGTCAGAGTCGCGAACATCCGTCCCAGACTGCAGGTTCGGGCAGGATTTGACTCCTGGACTCCTTGCAAAGAATGCCTACCTGTGAGCGTCAGCCAGTACAATGAGAGGTGGTAGAAGTCAGTGCGCAGGCCGGCCATATAGGCGGTGACGACGGCGTAGAAGAGCGTGGGGACCATGCGAGTGGGCAGGATCTCGCAGACGACCTTGGCAAGGAAGTAGGCGCTGGTCCTGTAGAAGCCGCTTGTCTTCTCGTGCACGAAGAGGGCGCGCTCCTGGATGAAGAGCTCGAGGGACGTGATGGCTGAGAAGATGATCATGTAAGCGACCATGAACATGGCGCCGATGTGGGCCTAAAGGGGGGAAGCAGAGAGAGGTGAGTTTTCCTCCACCTCCGCCGTGGCATCTGTGCTCATGTCAGAGGCACAAATCCGTCCCAGACCCCCTGAGGAGAGACACAGCCTATCCCTACCTGCATGGCAGTGGGCCCTCCGTCCAACCGACCATAGAAGAAGGCGCCCAGAAGCACCGCCGAGGCGAGGAAGGAGAGGACCTGGAAGATGCTCGTGGCTGGGTTGCGCATTACGGCAAGGAAGACGCGGCGACTGATTGTCCGGAACTGATGCAGAAAGCCCGTGGCGTAGTGGCGCACGTGCTTGTCCATCCTTCGCGAGGCGTCCACGGCCACGCCGCTGTCAAGCACTCGGGCTTCGCACTCGCCATTTATCGCCTTGCCCTCCGCTGAGTTCTTGAAGGAGCGGGCGAGGAAGCCCATCTCCTGGACATGCACCGAGCCGCCGTACGAGATCTGTCTGTCCAACCGCCGAACCTGGTCGCAGACGACGTCCATGAAGAAGTCGCTGGGGTTGTTAAAGGGCTCACACTGGAAGCCTATCTGCGCGAAGTACTCCGCTCCCTTGGCGGCAGGCCCCTGGAGACATGGAGGCGGGCGATAAGATGAGCAGACATTGCACCACGTTCAGAGATTTGGCAAAAAGCAAGCAATCAAAAAAAGCCAGCCTCGCCGCATCGACAAGAGTATACGTCTTCCCCCGTATCACCTGGTACACCATCTCGCCCTCTGCGAGCAGCATGAGGACGTCGAAGAGCTTGAACACGGTGTAGCGCGGTTGGTGGATGGAGAGGATGACGGTCTTTCCGTGGGAGGCCAGGTCAGAGAGAATCTCCACCACCTGTCGGTGCAATAAAAAACAGATATTAGCAACGAGGCTCGAGGTGAAAAGCGAGCAATGCCACAAGACGCCCAGATAGGCAGTTCGGGACATAAAGGTGAAGGGTCCTATTTGAACAAAATACACATCACTTACCTTGTGAGCGGTAAAAGCGTCGAGTCCTAATTGCATGTACAAATATTAAGATTCAAAAGCATAAAGGGCATTAGTTGCGTGTCTGCCGTCCTTGCCGGTGCCGCGCCATAGGTCCTCCCATTGATTTTTCTCACCTGATGTGGGCTCGTCCAAGAATATGACGGCCGGATCCACAACTAGCTCCATGGCAATGGAGCACCGCTTTCGCTCCCCACCAGAAACGCCCCTGATCATTTCCGTTCCGATCTTGGAATTGGCGCATTTCCAGAGCCCGAGCAACTCGATTGTGTCCTCCACGCGGCATCTCTTCTCGTTTTTGGAGATGGAAACGGGCAGCCGTAGCTCCGCTGAGAACTGGATGTTTTCCCGGACAGACATGACTCCCATGAGCTGGTCGTCTTGCTCCACGTATCCGATTTTGGCGCTGAAGCCTTCCTCACGAGCCTTTCCGTCCACAAGGATGTGGCCCGAGATTTTCGACTTCGCATTCTTGCCGGCCAAAGTGTGCAGCAACGAGGTCTTGCCGCATCCCGAAGGACCCATCAGCGCTGTACAGGAGCCACGCGGTGTGATGCCGCTGATATTTTTGAGGATGCGCCGAGTCTTTCGCTTCATGTTCTTGCTCACGTAGGTGGCGGTCAAGCTTAACTGGTGAAAAGCAATTTCCACTCCTGTGGTTTGCAAGACCGAGGACTTCGCGCGTTGTGGGCTCAGAACTTTGGGACCTAATTCTGGGTCGAAGGGAGAAGTGCCAGAAGAAGGCAACTCAGTCAAAAAACCCACAGCTTTCTCCGAGGGCGTCGCCGTCAGGCCAAGGGGAGACAATTTCTGATCCTTTGTCTCTTCTTCGGCATGAGTGACGACTGCATATTCGGGAAGTGCTCGAGCAGGGACATCAACAGCTACGTCTTTCGGGGTGCTGCTTCCACTGGTGACACTTTTTTGGGGGCTTCTTCGACGTGGAGACGACATGTGAGGAAACCTGTAGGGGGAGAGAAAGAAGGAAGGAATTTAGGTCGGTAGGCGGTCTCATGGAAAGCTATCCGCGCATAAATGTGAAATTTCCCTTACTCATGCCATGAAGACATGTCTGCGCACTGCATAGAGATGTAACAAAAGGTGAGGCCTCAAAATCACGAGCGTGATCAGAGAACGTAGGGCAGTCACCAGACTGCCCAGAAGGGATGGCCAAATCGGCCTGATGGCTAAATCGGGTCAGAGAAAATTTACAGCTGTCTGCATAAATGTGCTTCAACTCATTCGAAAAGAACTACGAAAACGATATAAGATGAGGAAAACGTACGGTTTTGCAGTTGTTGTGTCACAGTGGATAGGGAAGCAAGAACGGAAAAGCGTGGCCAAGGACTCGGGGGGGCGACAGCTGACGCCGCCGTCTGACGTTCAGGCTTCTACAAAGGCCTGCCGGTCTCACGCACACCGCTTGCACTGCTCTTTTGCGGAATGCATGATGTTCAAGGTTACTCATCAATGAACTTTGGAGCTATGTCAAGCATTGGGCTTCACTAGATGAGAGCAGATGACAATGACTAGGCGCACTCGGGCACGACGTCAAGAGCGGCAATTGCTGAGAAGCTATTTTACTGCGGACTCATCAAAGAATGGGAGTTTGTGAATTAAATAGAGTGGATCATGAGTTAAGCGTTGTGCGTTGTGCTTTGTTTGTCTGCTTAAATTCCCGCATAATTTAGATGTGCAATCTTCTGACGACGAAGGTGAATTTTTGGGAGAGCCCAGAACCCAGGCAAAAGTATGAAATTTCCACCCAAAAAGTTACAATAGAACTCTGCTTTGAGAAGTTTTCTCCTTATTTCAGCATGTTCATAGCTTCAAGGCACAATAGCTCAGCCAGAAGACTGGTTTTATCAATCACAAACCATCCTGAAAATACATGAAAACCTTCTTCTGGATAGATTCTTTGGAAGTTTGCTGAGAAGGTTATGATTGACCTCGAAGGTGAAATTAACATGTCTGGTTGAGTGAACTCTGGAGCATAAGGTGCCAGAGTCTACCCAGAAAATCTTACTCTCGGTACGTCAGTATAGTGGTGTGAAGTTACATAACCGCTAGCTAGGATCCGGGGGTGTTCTGAAAAATTATCACAGGTGCTCTTTTTCCACCTTTAACAATGAAGTGCGTTCATGTACGGTTACCGATTACGTGATAAATGCAACTAGGCTGCTTTTTTCCCCCTTCATTTACATGCGGCAGGTACCGTATATTCTAAGTAGAAGATGCATCAATTAGTAGTGATAGAGCTGATACTGACTTGGTGTAATCGAATCCGGAAAAATATCCATAAATAGGGCATATTTGTCGTACAAGAGGCAACGATACCAATTTTATTTAAGAAGTTGGGTGTTGAATAAAGCAAGCTGGGACTTTGATGATCTACACATTGTTGCTCTAGTAGCTTGTGTTGAAAGATGGTCATTGAAGTGATAGACTTTCCAGAAGAAAGGCTTTTTAGAAGGGAGGCAGGCATTCTCGGTAAAATGTAGCATTATCACACATCGGCAGTCAATATTCTTGCACCAAATACACGTTAACATTAAGTTGTATGCAATATCGCGCCTTCGTGGTAAAGCTCGTCAGTTAACCCCATGCAACGCTGCACTTCCACTCTCTCACGCTTGACTGAGTTGAAGGACATGCAAACAATACTGCCGCAGGATTTGACGGAAAAATGACACGTTAACCTACGAGCCTCCGAGAAAAAAAGGCCGCTGTAATGGGGGAAGATGTGCATGCGTTTCTATTTTAAAATGTGCGCGCTGTTACGGGGGGGTGAAGCGTTAGAAAAAGAAAGGAAGACAAAAAAAGCAAAAAAATAGAAATCCTCCTACGCAAGAGGTAGCAATTTGCGATTTCTCGCCGCCAACGGACTACTTATATTTGATTTGGTGTGTTGAAGTAACAAAATTTTGACGTTGTATTGGTCTTGCAAAGGAGAAACGCTATTTACAAGCCTCGATGAGTTCCTGAGGCCCTGTTCTCATCATTGAGCCTGTCGAGTGCGTCGCTGCTTCTCGCTGTCGCTGCCTTCCACGTCGAGCACATGGACACGGGACAAAGCACGAGGCACGCGTCTGCGAAGAAACATCAATTGCGATCACACTGCGCGATTTCTTTTTCCACGCGCCGCGCGCGTTTGATGTCTGTACGTTTGCCCTGGCCCTTGGAGCTCGGCCGCTGTTGACCGTTCATTTCTCCTCCCGAGTCCTTGCCGAGCCCATCTCCCTCTCCCTGTCCGCCCTTCCCAATCTTCCCCAAGCCTGGGCTCACCCCGCCTGGCGATGTCACCCATTCCAAAACTGACGTCCGACAATACGTCAACCACCATATGCAGCCCACATCACAGACATAGCAGCGAGAGCATTCCTTTGACGGGAAATAGGCTCCTGTTTTTTGACCGGCGCCGAGATTCACTCTAGGCCACCCAATTCAACTGCACCGCAAGCCGTGATACTCTGGGCTTTGTCCCGTTTCGACCATGACCGAATCCGACAAGGGCAGGGTTGGCAATCAATGTGGTCACCATGCCTCCGGCACATCAAGAGGTCATAAGAGAATACGAAGGCTCGCTGGATTCTGCTGCCTCGCCTCGTGCGTTCCCGTCAAAGCTTTTTTGGGTGCAGGCATGGGTGTAGGGCCGATGTCGACACCCGTTAGAGCTCAGACATTTCATCCTCTGACCTACCAATCAAGGCATGATGGCGTCGCAAACTCCATTCTAAACGGTCGAACCAGACTACAAGTAGCGCAGGTACGTTCTAGACGGCGCTCATGTCGCGGAGCAGTACATTGAGAAATCCGACCTGAAAGGACGTGTCATGTCCCCATGCGTTTGCCAAGCTCTTACTCGTTGTTCGTTGTTGAACGAGGATATTACTGATTGTTATCATTTCATGAACTTCTTACCTTTTGTTAATTTGACTCTCTTCATTAGATCCCAGCGCCCATGGATTGGAATGTGGCAGCATGGCCAGATCTCCCAATTGTAAACGAGACAGCCATGAGTGGACGAAACAACGAGATGCGGGCTGGCTGGGCGAAACTGAGCCATATGGGAAGCACATTGACACGCCCTGCGCAGTCCTCATCTGGAACTAAAGTAATTTTGAGCCCCTCTCCGAGCAAGAAATCGAGTGCCGACCGTGCTGTCCGGCAGGTTGTAGCTCAGGGCAGACTCGGCAAAGCAGTGGATTTGCTGGTGTCACTTAGTGAGGAGGAGGACGGCCTTCATGCGATTGACCGGGCTCTAGTCAACTTCGTTCTCTACAACTGCATGCGGCGCAGGGACTGGACACGTGCCCTGACCGTGCTGGACGCGCCCTTAATCGAGGTGGACGTGGTGGGATTCACCATGGCCATCAAGGCCTGCGGCCAGGCGCGACGGTGGAGGGAGGCTCTTGGCGTGCTGCGCGAAATGCAGGCGCGGGGTCTCCGCCCAGACTTGGTTTCCTTTAACACAGCTATGGATGCTTTGGGGAAGGCGGGACAGTACGATCTCGCTCTCGAATTGTTCACCGAGATTGAAGACCACGGTTTTGCGCCAAACCTGGTGTCTTACAACACTGCGATCCACGCTTGTGGGCGAGCTGGCATGGTAGACCGGGCCCACGAGCTCCTTCGAGAAATGCAAGGGCTGAGTGTGCGCCCGGATTCTGTGTCATACAACACCGTTATGGCCGCATTTGCGAAGAAGAATCAATGGAAGGCGGCGCTGGAACTGCTCGCAGAAATGAAGGAGGCACCTGGAGTCGATCCAGATCTGATTTCGTACAACACCGCCATGCACGTCTGTGCGAAGGCGGGCAGGTGGGAGCGGGCTACGGAGCTTTTGACCGAGGCTTTGGGCCAGGGGCTGCAGCCAGACGTGGTCTCATACAACACCGTTATGCACGCCTGCGGGCGCGCAGGCGAGTACTTGCAAGCATTGGACCTTTTTGGGATGATGGAGGAGGTGGGAGTCGCCCCAGATCGCGTGAGCTTCAACACTGCGATGCACGCATGCAACCGGGCCCTGAAATGGCAGGCGGCACTGCAGATTCTAAGAGAAATGGAGGCCCGAAGCATCGCCCCGAACGTGAAGAGCTACACCATCGCTGTGGACGCCTGTGGACGCGCAGGGGAGTGGGAACGGGCCTTGGAGCTGATGGAGGAGATGGAGGTTAGGGGTGTGCCGGCCAACGTGCACACGTACACGGCTGCCATGGACGCGTGCTGCCGGGGAGGCGCGGTGGATCGGGTGCTTGTGCTTTTGGAGGAGATGGACGGAAAGGGGGTCGAGCCTAACGTGGTCTCCTACACCATTGCTATGGACGCGATGAATCGAGTGGGCAAGTGGGATAGGGCGTCCGCTGTATTGGAGCAAATGGTGCAACGTGGCCTTCGCTTAGACTCGGTCTCCTATCGCACTGCCTTGAGCACGGCGGGTCGTGCCGGGGATGAGGAAGGAGAGCGCCTGACAAAGATTGTGCACGAGTCGCGACAGCGTGGCCACGCACGACAGCGCGGTGAGCGGAATGGACCCGGGGAAGGTGGGGAGAGCTCGGACGGCGACCTGGCAGGGGGCTACGGTGAGCTTTTTCCAACCGGTAGCCGACAGTTTCGACAAACCCAGATTGGCAGCAGCACCCTCTGGGGCCTATAGCGTGGTAAATGGTGACTAGTGTAGTTAAATGTTCACGACGACGGACACAAGCAATTATGCTCTTTGTTGTCTCAAACTGGCAGTCTTTCCCGCTGCTTGGTAGCAGAACTTTCAACAGAGGAGCACTCACGGGCGCAACCATAGTTGTTCCGTCCCTCCTCCATCTCCTCGCTATTTGTTTCGAGTCTCAAACCGAGTTCTTAGCGATTGTCGAAATATGGCGATTGACAAACACCGGCGGCACTTCGGTTTCCGCGCAATTTCTGGGGTTTTTTGGTTAGGGTTACCCTAACCACAAATAAAGCGGACAACTCGATCGCAAGCGATGTGTTGGAATAGATGGAACTTACGTATAACGTTTATGTTACTGGCATCTTGAAAATACACGCGATGGAACACATAAGTAATTTTAGGATCGAATGCCATGATTTACCATGCGGAAATGGAGACATTCGAAGGATGAAATCCACTTGATATGGTGAGCGACAAGTGGAGGTAAAGTGAGCCCATGCGCTTAGTTATCCCTTTTTCAGTTGAAGGTATTTGAGTATGAGCTGAGGTGTTTGGGGAACGCGCCGACCAAGTAATTGTAGAGATGAAGTAAAGCTAGCTAACAGAGAACTCTAGCCCAGGAATCGCCCGAATTGATTTTTTTCCTCTTGCTCATGCCAAGACTGGTTGATCACGTCGGCAGTGTGACACCACGGAAGGATCCATGACGTTCGAATCTGGACTCGTCAGCCTGTGAATAAATTAAACAATGATTGGATCAACAAAGGCATATGAGGAAAGGAATGGCGTATCACAGGTCGAGGAAGAGGGGTGATGACGCCATGAATTTTGTTTCTAAGTTTCTGATGCAAACTTTTGTGTTGCGTTGTTTCTCTCACCGAAAATTGTAGAGAAGAGTTGTCCGTTGAACCCCCAAAAATCTTTGTGAACGTCTTCGAAGGAGACAAAAAGTCGGTCACCAGGAATGTCTCCAGCAGCTTTCATAGCAGTTCCCAGAGCCTTGAGAAGAGCTTCTTTGTTCGCCTTCGCGTTGGCACCATAACCAATAGAGTGGACGCTTATCATTGCTGCAGGTGCTTTAGTTCCTCCAAATTGAAGGTTTGGGCTCACTGTCACGTCCACTGCAATGTACTGGTCAGGCTTATTGAGCACGTCACGAATAGCGTTGTGTGCAGCATCTGTCACAGCCTTGACTCCCGAGGCATCCAACTGAGCAGAGGTGCGAATATTGACAAAAGGCATGGTGAAATCTGTCAAGCAAGTAGCTTGATCTGACAGGTTGGACCGTGGACGACGGGTACGATATGCTAAAGGAAAAGGAATCGATCAGAAGAAATTGTTACAAATCGCAAATCCTCGCATCATGTCAGCAAGCTCTCGTGTCTCCTCTTCATGTGCCCTTGACTCGCTTGCTATACGTTGAGTTATCCAAACCGGCAAGTCAGTCGGTAATCCATGCTAAAGGTTATATATAGACGATAAGTAGAATGTGCAACACGATCTCACTTCGTAGGGACGCATCATAATCTAAAAGCCATTGGATGGCTTGGTTGGGGAGTATCAAGGAGGTATCAAGGATCAGGGAACCCATCGTACAATGACTTCGACAGTGTCGTGTTGTACCTGCTGATTGCTTGCTTTAGAATGGTGCACGAAGGCTCATCGTGCGTTAGAACGTGTGCACGAAGTCGCACACCCTTTATCGCTGGCTAAATGACTTAATTTTCGCCGGCACGTGCGGTCTCTCCTTGCAGCCTGTCGCCTGATGCTTGAAGAGAATTCGTCTCGCCTTCACTGCAAAATGACTATGAAGCTGATGCCCGAGATTCTGCGGACAATGCGGTGGTCTCCCAATGCGACGGCGACAAGACACATACATGCTGAGGCCCAGCATTACAGCACAGTTGCACGACTTTGACGGTGTCGTTTAGGATACTAGTTATGAGCAGAAATGGCATCGTTTTGGCTACGGCCTTGCTTCCCCCCCCCCCCAACGTCTACCCTTGCAGCACTCAATACCTCATTCCTTTCTGTTCTTATTGCCCAGCACATAGTCACGTATAAGCAGGATGGGCCGTTTGTCACTTGCTTGCTGTGTCTCGGCCCTTCTGGCCTTGACAACATATGCGATGATTGAGCCGGCTACCAAGATCAAGTTTGAGGAAACCATTTCTTTGCCAGGAAGCGTTGCCGGCCTTAGTCTTGCCGGTGTGGGTGTGCGTGTGAAAAAGTTGGTCGGACCTTTAGCTGTCAAGGTCTACGGCGTGGGTTTGTACGTTGACAAGGGCGTGGCGGTGAGAAAATTGAGCAAATTTAAGGGCCACAAAGCAGGATCCAAGGCACTATTCGATGCCCTGGAAACTGGAAATTTCGATAAAATTGTGCTCTTGAAGATGGCGCGAAAGGTGGGTGCGGCGACCCTGGTCAATGCCTTGGCAGAAAGCGTGAAGCCTCGCCTCGGAAAGGGCTCGGAAGCGGCGCTTCTGCAATTCCAAGATGTGCTTTTGGCAGGCCTCAAGGGCGGCGAGGCCGAGACCGGCAAGCAGTTCGGCTTTGGTATTCAGGGGGGCAGTAAATTGATCGTGACAATTAACGGAAAGAAACAGGGTGAGATAGCCAGCGGTCCTTTAGCTCAGGCACTGCTTAAAACTTACCTCGACAACAATGCCGTCTCTAAAGATATGAAGGAGTCGGTGGCCCAAGGGCTACTGACGTGGATCAATCTCGTGAAGTAAGACGTTTCAATCGACATCAAGATGGTTCTGTCTCTCGGATAGGGAAAAAAAAAACTGAAAAGAGAGTAACAGAAGAAGGAAAACTCAGCTTTCGGAACGCGTAGCTTTTGATAAGCTTCATTTTTATCCTGCGGCCTTTGTACACCTTCTAAACACAGCCGAAACGATTTTCACATCCCTCGTCGAGCCCTTTCAGAGGGCAACAAAGGCGGAGGGCGGGAAACCCTATTAGGCATGGAGGTCCTAGACGGGGCAGTCGATGCTGTGGCCGGGGACTCAGGGCTAGGGGCCGCATCCTTTACCCGCATCGGAGCAGGGATTTTGTGTGTGGTCCTCGCTGCCGCCTCTACCTCTCTGAAAAAGGTTGGAGGGCCCCAAGAGGTGACCTTATTGACGATCGCGGGGGGCGCGAAGCCCCCTGGGTCGACCTGCGTGACGATCGTGAAAACGGCGTTGTGGGGCTTGCCGGGCACGGGTTGGATGATGTTGGCGCCCATGAGAATCTCAGCGCGCACGTATTTGTCCGTCCGAGGCGCCTCAGGATGCTCGGCTCCGCGGTTGACGACAACGACAGTGCCGTCTTGCAGCTTGCGGTAGTGCACAACTGTGCAGAAGTCTCGAGGTTTGAAGAAAAACATAGGTGGACTGGCCGCCCATACCACCTTGGTGTGTTCGTTGATTGCCTCCAGGTCACGACCTTCCGCGTAGAACTTGTTGTATTCAGGCACTCGCGTATTGTCGGCGAAGAGGGCGAGAATGTCGTCCGGGCTGGCGGCCAGAGTGCCGCTGGCCTTGATGCAGCAGTATTTGGACACGCGCCCGTCCATGGAGGGAAGATTCTTGCGGTGCACGGTCACGCCCTTGGCGTCCGAGACGAGTTCCCATCCGTCTGCCTCTCCTTGGTCCAGGCACTCGAGCACCCGACGAAGGACTTTGTCGTTGAGGGAGTCCGCATACAGGTTGGACTCCTTGCGGGCAATCAGGTCGTCGTAGAGCCGGTTGAAATTCAAGAGCTGCTCCATCACTCGCTTCAGCGTCGCGTCAAGCTCCCCGCGCTGGTGCGACCAGTGCCGCAGCATCCGTTCCTGCTGCTCCCGCAGCCTCTCCACCACGCCTTCCAGCCGCGCTCGCTCGACGCGGACACCGGCTTTCCCCAGCCGGGCCAGCTTGGCTACCTCTTCTTCCCGCAGGCGCTGCACCAGGCCCCGGACTTGGTCGTCTTCCATGAAGAGGCGAGGGAAGACGTCGCTAGAGATGTGCATCATCCGATCAATGTAGCCGCGGACCTCAGCGGTACTGTTCAGGTACTGCGTCATAAACTGCTGAAAAGTCTCGTCCAGGCGGCGTTGCTGCTCCGCCACTTCGGCCTTGGTGAAGGGACCGAGCTTCCGCACCGTTCCCGAGAAGCGGCCCCAGGTGTCGTCGTACTGGCGCTTGAACTGCTCGAGGCTTTGGTTGAATCCCTGCTGGCGACTGCGCAATTCAGAACGCGTGAGCTCTGCCAGGCGCTGCTGCTGCTGGGCAATGCGCTCCATGTAGTCCTCTTGTAGAGCAGAGGCCTTGGCGAGCTGCTTATCCATATCCCTGCGCACATCCCGGGAGGCCGCCTCGTAATGTGTCTGAAAACGTGTTAAAGAGTCATCCAACCGGCTTCGGACCACACGGCGGTAGGAGTCAAGGCTCTCAACGCGGAACTGCCACTCGTCTACTAGCAGACCGACCCAGCGCCGGGGAACCGTCCATCCCGATCGGACACCGGCGTTGTCTGCAGTCGGCGGTGTTCTATTCAAATGTGCGGGAGGAGTGCGGTCGGTTACGGGCAGCGAAGAGACCGACGAAGAAGGATGGTTGGAGGCCCAAAGCGGTACATCTGTAAGACTCGGGCTTTTCATGGCAACAGCCGGTTTGACCTTCGCATCTCCTGTGTTATTCGATCTCATCTTGATTGCTTTGATGGACCTCTCGTTGTCTTTTCCTTTTTGTCTTTACCGGAAAAAAAAAAACAGCCAGTCTTCCCATTGGGACAGGAGGAATTGGTGTCCATGTTGAGTTCGTGCGCGACCTCCCGCACCACACTCGATTGCTCTTGGGTGACACACTGTCCGCGGTCGCACAAGAATGATGTAGAAAAAGAATGGCTAAATGTAGCAGCATCGATTTCGACCTCCAATTTGAAGGTCCTTTTAACAGACTGTACGGTGTCAGGGGGGCCATACCAGCACAACTTGATAAAAGCCTCTCAGGCGGAATGAAAAATGCGGGGGTTCTTGCGATGCTATGTGGTCGCTCCTCCTCCACCCCTTAGTCGTATTAAGCTTTATCACCTGCTGAAAAGTGAGTTACACGAATTATACTTGGCATGGCGCTCGCGAGGATCAGGGCGATCGATCAATTTATTTCTTGGCCTTGACGTTGCGGAGAAGCGCCAAGAAGAACACCGCTCGTGTGGGGCAACCCCGCCAAGATCCAGCTTCTAGAGAGCCGCGGAAACCATATGTCTTTCTGTGTTCCACACATGCTATCTGTATGATAATGTGTCAGAAGCAATCCTGTTGCTGGCAAAGTAGCTGTCCAAGCGTTCCGATCAAGTGCTCCTGGAGACCGACCACGGGTCGTTAAAAGAAAAGACATGTACGAAAACGGCTAGGCAAGCGCTTCCAATACTTGTTCTAAAAGTGAAATTATCGGGGTCTAGAATTTAATTGTGACCTCCATAATCACGGCCCAGCATCGTACGCGTAATCATTCCTCCTGAGCTCAAGTTTGGATGATAGGAGGCAGATACACTCGAGCATTCCTGGAAATTTTCATTTGGAAGTGATGGGACGTCAAGCCCGCAAGAAAACTTCGAACTGAGAACTGGCCTATGGAGGACGTCAGTGACGCATCCAATACCATTTTTTTTCACTTTACGAGGCGTTGAATTTTCCTTCTACTTGCCGATAACATAGAAACATATCGAAGTGTAGAACGGAGCCATTTCTGTACTTTAACAGTGCAAAGTGTGCAATCATATCATTTGTGTGATATTCCCGCACAGTGCCTCCTCATTAAGCAGAGAGCTCAAAGCATTTTCTTTCTCATGTTAAATTACTTGGAAGTTTCCATCTCCTTTCTCTGTAATCAAGCGAAGTTTCAAATGTTGACCCACGTGAGTGCGAATTTAGGGGCCAATACGTCATAACATGGTAATGGCAAACGATTTGCCACTGTCCAGAGTGAGGTCTCCTTGTTATTTGTTTCAGTCGTGATTTGCTCAGAAGTCTTTATCTAAAGTGATTCCACATTTAGAAGCACAAATCTTCATTTCAGGGACAGCTGCTTGGCTTCTTTCCACTCCTCGATGCACGGTCGGACTTGCCTTGGATGTGCCTTTGTGATTAGCACAGTTATTCATGCGTCGGGGAAAACTATGGAAAGTCCTGGTGAAATACATCACTCTGGACGATATTTGAATGGACTAAAAAATAATCGGGATGCGAGGTAGCGAAAATGGGGACGCGACATCAAATTTTGTCCCATCTGCCTAAAACTGATAGAAATAGCAGTGTTGCTAGGCAGGAGACCATTGAAC